GTCTTTGTCCCCTCCACCACCCTTATCAGAGATTATTGGCATTTTTTCCCCCAATTAAAAATAAAATTCCGGACAGTTAATATTTAGAACTGGTCCTGACCCTAAATTGTTCTGTTCTTATCAGAAGAATGAGTCCCTGGGATCATGGGAGGCCAATGACTGGCCACCTGGCTATAATTGGACCTTGAGCCTCCCTGATGAGGCCAGAGAAACCCTATCAAATGCCTGAGGAATCATTATCAGTCAACCAAAGGGTCTGAGGCCTACCCAATGCCTTCTAGAAGCTCCTATGAAAACTTGTGTAAGCCAAGGACAAAGAGAGCTATGCATCTCTAGAAACACTGACCTGCTTTCTCCTTATATACTGAAAAATGAGGAATATATAGGTTTCTCCTTTTATTTGGCCACCAGGAAACTCAAGTCAGATATATAGCTCAGGTATAACAAATGCATGGGACCTTAAGGCCTGTTTTTGTTCCATTTTTCTCTCCTTTTCTATACCTCCCATGGGTGTGTGTGTGTGTGTATATATATATATATAATTTCTATTTTAATATTTCATTATATGTGTAAAAACCAGAAACCAAACTCACTGCCATCGAGTCAATTCTGACTCGTAGCGACCCACTTTGGGTTTCTGAGGCAGTTAACTCTTTATGGAAGTAGATTGCCCAGTCTTCCTTCCTCAGAGTGGCTGGTGAGTTTGAACTGCCAATCTTCTGGTTAGCAGTCATATATCATTGGCACTATGCCACCAGAGCTCTTTTCATTATATGTGTAAGCGTCTTCAAATCTTTTGCAGAACAAGGTAGAAGGATAAGTAATCAAATAAACCACAAAGAAGTTACAATGTCCTCTCCTGCCTACTTGTCTTAGTTATCTAATGCTGCTATGACAGAAAACCAAAAGTGAGTGGCTTTAACAAAAAATTATTTTCTCACAGTTTAAAAGGCTAGAAGTCTGAATTCAGGGTACTGACTCTAGGGGAAGGTTGCCTGTCTCTGTCAGCTCTGGAGGAAAGGCCTTGTCTCCTTTTAGCTTCTTTCCGTGGTGATCTTCACGTGGCGAGCTTTCTGTCTTCCCTCACCTCTGCTTGCTTGCTTCAGTCTGCTATTTTATATCTCAGAAGAGATTGACTTGAAATAAGCCTTACACTCATACTGCCTGATCCACATAACAAAGAAAACCCATTACCAAATGGGATTACAAGCATAGGTATAGGAAATAGGATCCATAACACATATTTTGGGGGGGACACAATTTAATCTATAACACTAACCACCAGCAAATCCTGTCAATTCCACCTTTTCCTCTTTTCCACAGACTACACACCAGTCCAAGCTCCCATTATGTCTCACGTGGAATTCTCCAATGCTCCCCTGACTGGCTTGTCTCCACTTTCATTCTTACTCCCAGTCCTTTCTCTATGGAGCAGCCAGAGTGGTTTTCAAGTGTAACTCTGAATCATTACACAGCCAGGATTCCGGCTTGCAAGCAACAGAAACTCACTCTGATTTTCTCAGCCTCATGCATATATACACACAGAAGAATGTACTGGAATGCCTTTTGGGGTTCCTCAGAATCAAGGGCAGGTGGACCACTGGGTCTGGATGCTCCTGCCCCGATGACTGCTGTGGGAATCTATCAATTATTGCAGAACTCCACATCCATTCCAGTGGCACTAAGACTAGGCTGTGGATAAATTAAATGACTCCAGAATAAAAAACACTCTATGGGAGGATCCAATCAGCCCAGCCTTGATCGCTGCCTGTGCCCTGACTGCTTGCAGGCGCTGGTAGAGAGAGGACCTGGGCTGTCGCCTTCCACAGAGAGTGCTGGACACACTCTTCCATCAATGGTATACAAGATAGGGAGTTTCAAGTTCCAAGGAAGAAAGGTTAAGATCTGAGCAGCCAAAATCATAACAAATGACTACCACCTATGTATCTTCATGCCTTCCTGTGTGCCTAAAATAAAATCCAGATTCTTTCCTAAGGTCTATGAAAGCCTGCCTGCTCTGACCAGTAACTACCTCTCTAGTCACATCTCTCAACATTTCCCCTGCCTAGCTCTGGCACAGTGGTCTTGTGCATCCTTGAACACAATAAGTTCTGTCTCTCCTCAGGGCCTTTGTATATTGGGCCCCTCTGCCTGGAATTTTCCTCTCCCTTTCATATTTCAGGTTAGGTGACACCACTTCAGAGCCTTTCCTGGCCCAGCTGTCTAAGTAGGCTCTTCCTTTACAATCTCTTGTAATGCTTACCACAATGTGAAATTACTTCATTTATGTGTTTGGCTTTTTTTGGCCTATCTCACTAAACAGACTTCAAACTGCCTGCAGGCAGAGACCTGCTGGTCATGTTCTCTGCTGAATCCCCAGTGTCTGGCAGACAGCCTTGTACAACATAAGTGCTGAGTAAATGGTTGTAGATAGAATTAGGTTGTGCTAATGCCAAGATGAGTGAGGAACAGGCCTTGCCTCAAGGGGCAATGAGTTGTCTAGGGGATGCAGACACTTAAACAGGCCACATCACGATACAGGGACAGCTGTGTTCTAATGAAGAGTAAGGGCTCAACAATGCCAGCTGTGGCCATAAGTGACCACAGGGTCCTAGGAACACTCAAGAGGTTCCCCCAATCTAGATGAGGATAATTAAGGCTCCCACCCATGGCCAGCTTCATCGGCAGGCAATCAGTGAATCACACAGGGTTCCACACTCAAAAAGGCTTCATACTTGGGGCTTAATGTTTTGTAGTCACAAAATTCTTACTAATTTTGTTTTTTAATTTGTGTTTTGTAAGTGAAGTTTGATGGGACAATGGAACATGTCCCAGGGACTCAGAGCCTCGGCTCACCAGTCTCAGCTTCTGCAGCCTCCCTGGTATATGTTCTCCACCACTCACCCCGCCACCCCCTGGTCCCCTTTACTCCATCCAGCCTCCTTCTTCTTGACCCCATCCAGTGACCACTGCCACCTTTTAGCCCCAGGAAGGGCCTGGACACAGACATGGGGAAGATCAAAGTCAGGCGGAGTCATCCTGCAGCATCTCAGAGCAGGGTATGCAGGCGGCTGTTTCATCTCAAATCCGAGCTGGCAGGTGATGGGGTGGAGGGAGCGGGGAGACTTGGCAAGGAGAAACCTCTTGCCTACCACCTAGCACGTCACTGAACGGAGGTTGCAGTGCTCTGTGGGTTGGGGTGGTAGGCAGGTGGGGAGGGCAAAAGCCTGGCTCAAATCCCTCACCCCTGGCCATGGCCTGCCATGGCCTGGTGCATTGGTCTGGTGCCTGGAGGGAGGGAAAACTGGTAGCCAATGGCTACAGGAGTACGTGGACATGTACGTCTGAGTTATGGAGATCATGGGTCACGGTGAGGGTCTGCACTCACCCTCTGAGTGTCCCTGTGCCCAAGGGAGCATGACATTAAGTGGCAACTAGAATAACACCGTAACAGGTCAAAAGAGACCATGGAGAGAAGAAAAAGCTTTACATTTTAATACCTTTAATGGTCCATTTCCCCCACTTTTTGGACAAGAGACCCTGCACTTCCATTTTATAATGGGCCTCACATATTATGTAGCTAGCCCTGCACCCACTCTTCTTTGTGAAGCCCCCTGCTTCACCGCCTCCCCCATTTCATAGGTCAAGTTGGAGATGATAGCTAATAACAATAGCTTACGTTTATGGAGTACCTACTACAGCCCAGGCACTATTTTAAGCTCTTACCTGCATTAGATTATTTAATCTTTATGACAATCCTATATAGTAAGTACTATTATTATGTCCACTTGTGGGTGAGGAAACTAAGGCATTTGGAATGAAAAGAGCTGAGCTGAAAATTGAGAAGCCACAGTGTTAATTTTAACTCTACCTCTGACCTACTGTTCCTACCATCCAGGGCAAGTCTATAAATCTTAGTTTCTTTGTAAATTGGAAAAGAAATACCTAGCTTATAGTATTACTAATCACATCACATGAGAGAATACATGTATATGTGCCTACTAAACTGCACAAATAGTTACTGTTACTTTAATCATTATCCAGTTGCCACTGGCTATCTGCTGAGACCACCTAATAAAATCCCCTTATGCAGAGAAAATAATCTGCTAAATCATGCTTTCTGGGCTCCAAGCCCTCACTTAATCCTGGACCCATCCTGGAGGGATATAAATGTGATAGAGTTGAATGTCAGAGTCAAGAACATGCTTGCAAAAGAAATGCTGTATGTAGATTCTTTTACTGTTGTTCTTTACACAGCAAGGTAGATTCCCACTTGACAACTTCCATTGAAATTGTTCAGTGACATCCGTTATATTTATTACAATGTGTCTACATTCACTTTGTGTTCAGTGTCCCCTTTCCAGTACTGGAGTGTCCCTGCCCCCTTCTTATCTTGGCTTTTGAGAAATTGTTAACCTTTTGGTTTCATACTGACAGTTTAAGTAGGGCATCAATCTTACGGGTAATGTCCTTTATTTTGTGTGGCACTCTGCTATTTTGCTAAAAGGTGATTTCAGGGGACAGGCTAGGTTCTAGGTTTAGAGAGTGTCTCAAGGCGACAGTCTCAGGGGGTCCTCTGTTCTCTACTGTTCCAGTTTGTCTGGCTTTTTCTTTTTTACTTTTTTCATGTGAATTTGAATTCTCCATATTTTCCCCCCATTCTATTCAGGACCAACTATTATGGCCCCAGTCAGAATGGGCAGTGCTGGTAGGCGGGCATATGAGGTCGTGTTTTGTGCTTGTGTACATTTGTTTCTTTCCTGCACTTTTGGTTACCTTCTTACTGTTTTTCTCCTGTAAGTTGAGTTCCATAGTTGTGTCTTAGATGGCCATTCACAAGCTTTTAAGACCCTAGATGCTACTCACTTCACTAGGATGCAGATCATGATTTTTGTGAAGTATGTTATGCCAATTGCCTGAGCTGTCCCATGAGACTATGGTCCTAAGCCTTCAACTGTGTGCAGAATTTTGGTTTATCATGGTTCCATTTTCTGTTTTAGGCATCAGACCACTGGTGCTGAATTTTGGAAGCTGCACCTGACCTTCATTTCTTTCAAAATTTGACCAATTCAAGAGACTCATAGAAGACTTTAGCTCCACAACAGATTTTCTCATCATTTACATTGAAGAAGCACATGCAACAGGTACAAAGTTTCCCTGTCTTGGCCTCTTCTCCACCACCCCCCCTTTTTTCCCTCTCCTTCCCCCAAACCCCACCCTGAGGTTTTGGGTGGAGGGAGGAAGAGGAGGCAAGAGGGACAGAGAACTGTGATTCTTTGAGTTCCTACCATCTCCCTCCCTGAACCAGATTTACCTAGTTTACCTGAACTAGGTTTACCCACCACTTGCTGACTTCCCAGCAGAAAACCTGGAGTGACATGATCTAGCTGGGAGGGCATAAATACTACAGCTACAAAGGATTTAGACCTGAAATGCCACAACTGAAACAACTGCTACAAAGCTATTCATGAAATACATCCTAAGATTCTCTAAACTCAAAGCCACATTATGGTTCATCTAGGCGAGTGGTTCTTAAGCTTTAATGTGCAGCAGATCATCTAGAGGGCTTGTTAAAACACAGATTGCTGGACCCCAGAATTTCTGATTAAGATCTGGGATGGGAGTGGTGGGGAGGTGGCAAGAATTTGCATTTCTGACTTATTCCTAGGTCATGCTGCTGCTGCTGCTCTGGGGATCACTCTTTGAGAACCACTGTTCTAGGCCACTGTCACCTGGGGCAGGAATCTTTCTACAGCCCCTGACAGGTGGATGCCTATCTTCAATGATCAGGAACTCATTACTTCACAGGAAATCGTGTTCCTCTGCTGGACAACTCTTGCATGCGAGAAAGTCCTTCCCTACCATGGGCAGACATGTCCTTCCCTGAAACTTCTACACTTGGGTTTAAGTTCTTTAAACTTCACAAAATGTGCAGACATGCCCCCATCTCTTTGATTTTCATGGGGACTGAGATCATGGGTTTGGCCCACATTTCTAATCCAGAGACTAAAGATGGCAAGAAGGCTGGTGGGTCATTTACTTACTTGTCTCCCAGAAGATGGTTGAGGTTCTTCTTTTACCTCAGCACTTGGCAGAATCCATGTCTGAGCACAAGGGCAGATTTTAGTAAAAGTCAGGTGAATGAATGAATGTTAGGCTAGTAGTTAGACCTACTTCTCTGTCCATGTTTTGTGTTAACCAATTGCTATCAAGTCAATTCTGACTCATGGCAACCCCATGTACGCAGATGACAATTAATTATTACCAAAGTTGGCCAGCAGTGTTTTCTCCAGTGTGGTCCCCACATCCTCAGTGTCAGAATCACCCGGGTTGCTCATTAAAAATGCACTTTCCAGGGCCCCACCCTAAGCCCATTGCATCTTGTGTATAAGAAGAGTCTAAGGAAGTTATACAAGGAGCCCTGGTAGTGCAGTCATTAAGTGCTCAGCTGCTAACTGAAAGGTTACAGCCTCGGAAACCACATGGGGCAGTATCGTGTCGCCATGAGTCAGTATCGATTGGACTGCCACGGATATGGAAAAGGAGGTTCTGCAGGTCCCCAGGTGGCGCAAAGGATTTGCTCTTGACTGCTAACCTAAAGGTTGATGGTTCAAACCCACCCAATGTACCATGAAAGGAAAGGCCTGGCAATCTTCTTTCCATTAAGATTACAGCTGAGAAAACCTTATGGAGCAGTTCTACTCTGTAACACTGGGAGTCACCTTGAGTTGAAATCAACTCCAAGGCAACTAACAACAACAACAAAGAAGTTACAGTTTTATTAAGTATCTCACATGATTTATATGCACCCAAAATTTTGAGAATTGCTTTCCACTTAATACTGTGTTTATTTAACTGGAGACTTCCATCCTCATTAAGAACTTTGGGGCAATTTCAAATATTGTCTATCGTAATGAGTACATGGAGATTCATTATACTATTCTCTCTGCTTTTATGTATATTTGAAAATTTCCATAGTAAAAGTTAAATAAATAAAACCAGCCTAGGGAGCAGGAGAGCAAACAGAAACATAATGTATCTTTGTCAAACATCCCTTTATGAGAGCAGTAGCCATCAGTGAAAGAACTTCAGCACTGACAAAGGCTCCTGTGGCGTCCATGGCTGAGAAGAGAAAACGCCCATGTCATCACAGATGACAGCCGAAGCCCAGCCATATCTGATTTAACTGTCCTAGGGCACGGTGGCTGCAACAATGGGCTCAAGCATAGCAAGGATCATGGAGCTGGCGGGGGATCGGGCGGTGTTTCGTTCTGCTTGCACGGGGTCGCTATGAGTCGGAAACGACTCGACGGCACCTAACAACAACAACTGGGCAGCACTTTTCAAAGTTCTGGGGATCTTGTTAAAATGCAGAGTCTGGTTCAGTTGGTCTGGGGTGGGCCTGAGATTCTCCAGTTCTAACAAGCTCCCCAAAGTGATCCTGAGACTGCTAGTCCACTGACCGTACTGAATAACAAGATCCAGAGAATCCAGCTTTAATCTCCTCTAAAAGAAGAAATTGCAGACTGCACCAAGGTGGCTCAGATCACCACAGAAATTGTTTCCTGGCCCTAATATCTGACCTACTTCTCCTGGAAACAGACTGTCAGATTTAACCCTTTCCAGAACCCAGGGCTATACACATCAAGCAACTGAGAAAAGGCTTCCTGTCCCTGTCCTGAGACAGACCAATGTCTGGCCTCTGTGCCTTGCCACTCCTAGTTTGGAGAGCTCTTCTCTTCCCCACCTCTTTCCCCAGGATATTTGTTCTGTTCCTCAGATGAAAGGTATGGTTGGAATTCCAGAACTAAAATGCAGAGAGCCATAGTCCATCGATTCAAGGCATTCTAGGGTCTGTGTCATTAATCAGCTAGCTGTCTGTCTCCCATATACTACATGCTTGTCCAAGTAAAGGGAGGTGTTCTGGTTACCTAGTGCCACTCTGACAAGAATATACCACAAATGGGATGGCCTTAACAACAGGAGTTTATTCTCTCACAATTTGGAGGCTTTAAGTCCAAGTTCAAAGTGCCAGGCTCTAGGGGCTGCGTGAAAGCCCCTCAACCTTGGGGTCCAGCTCTGGCTCCTGCCCCCAACCCACTGGAGCTAGAGGTGTTTCTTCACTCAGACAGCTGATGGCTGCTGAGGCTGAGAAGCCCAAGGTTGACAAATAAAAAGGCACAGTTCCTGATGTTACCAAACACGTGGCAGGCCACTAATTCAAGTTCATCTTAAGTCCCAAGGTCGGCAGAGCATGGCAGGCTGCTGAACAATGACACGGCTACATGCAGAGTCCAAGCATGACATAGGCTAGAGACCATTCTCAAAGCTTCTCCTTATACACAGGAAGCAGACCACATCCCAAAGGCAGCTACTCAGCTGCTTGTGGTAGATCCCACCATGGAATTGATTGCCAGTCTCATCATGGGGAACAACTACCACCAGCTGCCCAGCCACTCAACCAGGACCAGCCAAGTGGACACACAAACATAACTACCACAAGAGGCATTAGGCATGGTGGGGAGAATGCTGATTTTGGAGTTTCACATCTGACTATAAGTCCTAGTTCCATGATATGCTGGCAAGTTACCTTCCAAGCCCTTTTCTGCACCACTAAAATGTGGATGAAAACAGCTAACCTCACAGACTCACTAATTCAGTAACATTTAACCAGCACCTGCTATGTGCCCAGACATACAGAGATGGAAGATACACGCAGTTCTTGCCTCTAAGGAACTCACAGTTAAGTTGGGGAGGCAAGTCCTTGCTCCTCTCTGAGTCTCCGTGTTCTCAGCTGCAAAATGGGGATGAGAATCCCTGCTTGGCCTGCCATAGGAAGTTGCTATGAAGCTCCAGTGAGCTAATGGGCAGACGAGGCTGCCTGCACATAATATAAATACAAGCCAATGGTGGGGTCATCAACAAAGTTTTGGTGTTTTGGGCAGGTAATAAATCTCTTAAGCTAAGGCATTTTTATATAAGGGTGAGTTTCTGCTGAGAGCTATTTAACTGGGGGAGGGGTATTGCGCAAGTGGACCTAAAAGCACTAAGGAGGTGGAGCCAAGTCTACTGCCAGACTTAAGCCACAGGTGGTTGTTGTTGTTATGTGCCGTCAAGTCGACCCGACTCATAGCGACCCCTCCTTGGGTTTCTGAGGCAGTATCACTACAGAAGTAGATTGCCCAACCTTCCTTCTGAGGAGTGGCTGGTGAGTTTGAACCACCAGCCTTCTGGTTAGCAGTCAAGTGCTTTAGTCACTATGCTACCAGAGCTCGATACAGGCCACATGGTTTCTGAAGGAACCCATGACCACATTATCTGGGTTCCAGGTTCTCTGAAGAAGGGCAAGGTCAACAGCAATTCATGGTTAGTTTTCAACCTTTGGGTCCATTAGCTAATGAGTACCCTCTCCTGCAAGTGGCACCTGGGCAAATGAGGCCAACTGAAAATTCCCTTCAACTGAAGTGGACCTAAATAGTTTGGTTTTAAGGGAATCCCCTCAAGAGCAGACTATAATAGTAGAAAACCTAGGATCCAGAATGAAAAACTGGATTCTTTCCCACGTGTTTGTTATTTGGGTAAAGTCAAGCAATGGAAGTAAATAATTTTTTGAGCAGCTACTATGTGCAAGGCAGAGTGCTGGGAATTCCACACAAGTTATCTCACTAAAAGCCTCACAGCTACTCTGCAATATAGTTTTCATTACTCCCATTTAATAGACAGGAAGGCTGAGGCTTAAAGAGCTTGCCCAATGTCATATAGTTGAGGGAGGTTGGAGGAGATGGTGTTAGAGCAGTTGTTCTCAACTAGTGGTGACTTTGCCCCCCAGAGGACATTTAACAATGTCTGGGGCCACTCATGAATGGAGGGGCTACTAGCATCTAGCAGATAGAGGCCAGGAGTGCTACTCAACATCCTAAACTACATAGGATAGCTCCGCACAACAAACAGTTACACAATGCCCAGCATGAATAGTGCCAAGGCTGAGAAATCCTATTTCAGAGTGGAGCCTCTGAAGGACTGGTAGATAAAAGTTGAAGAGATGGAAAGCAGAGAGGGCAGAGGGATCTTCATGAACAAAAGCACAGAAATATCAGCCTCATTTGAGGAGGAGTCTACTTTGGTTGGAGGTGGAAGGACTGGCAGACCTGACTAGAAACAAACTGAGAGACATGATGGGGATCACTACATACTGTGCTAAGGAGTTGGTCCTGTGAATGGCTTTTAAGCAGAGAAAAAAATATAATTGGACTTCACATTAGAAGTCATTCTCAGAATTTTGTAAATGATGGGTAGGAAGGCAGTAAGATTAGGAGGAAGAAAAGACTGCTTAGGAGGGGATGAAATTAAGGGTCATTACTGAGCTAGCAGTTGTACTTTCTTTTAAGTTTATCCTGAGAGACTTATCATGAATTGTGTTGGACTAGGGTGGAAAAGAGAGACAATCTGGGGGTGGACAGGGTCAAGGAATGCCAAGTGTTTCACCTAGCTGAGGCAAAGAACTGGAAGAAGGAGGTGGCTGGAGATGATGCTGGAGAGATAGAGGCCAGGCCACTGAGGATCCTATGGGCACACTGAGGAGCTTGGAACTTCTCCTAAGGGTGACAGGCAGAGAAAATTTTAAGCAGCTGAGTTATGCCAGATTTGCATTTTGTAAACTCACTGTGGTGGATAGTAATTAGGAGAGGGAATTGTTTAGACTTCAGAGCAGTTCTCAAACTTTAGCATGCATCAGAATCATCTAAAGGGCTGTTACAACACAGATTGCTGGGCCCCATCCCCAACAGGTCGATGGTAGGGCTTGAGAATTTGCTGATAAGGTGATGCTGATGCTGCTGGCTCTGGGGCCATACATTTTTGTTATCTGGGCGAAGAAACCCTCTTCCTGGTCCTTGCCCTACTCACAGGAAGTATCTCTGTGAGCGAGCAGGTAGTCCCAAGTGATCCACAAGCAAGTGGTGGCGTTTGGTGGTGGCTTGACAAACTCAACCAAGTGCCAATCACACAAGCACACAAGCCTTTATTGAAAGCAAAGTATGTTTCCAGAGGGGAAATGGATCTCTCTCCACAAGCGAGGGGGGCCGTTAAAAGCAAAGGGCATGTCCACAAGAGTGGAGAGAGGTCTTTCTCATGAAATGGAATGAATAGAGGCCAAACTGCCTCACTTACTGTTTTTCCTACTTCCTGAAACGGGCGTTCTTAAGGCAGGGCTGGGCCTCTTGAGTTAGGGTTCTGTGACCCTGATTAATTGGCCAAATCTCACAGGCAGTTGCAGACAGTTGCAAGGGTTAGCTCATTAACCTCCTTAAATATTCCAAGGTCTGTGGTTGTTCTGCTTAATTTTAGTTGGCCAAATCTCACAGGCAGTTTGAGCAGTTACAGGTGTTAGCTCATTAACCTTAAATATTCCACCTCTCTCCCTTTTCTCCTCCCTTTGGGCCTGCCTCTAGGGCAGCCCTCCTGTCCTACCTTCCCCCCTAACACTTTGAGAACCACTGATCTAGACTTACCTTTCAAAAGTGTGGTCCAGGCATCAGCAGACTTGGTATCTCAGGAGTTGATTAGTTTCTCAGTGCCAAGATAGACTGAACAGAAATCTTCCTTTAACAAGGCCCCTTAATGATTTATATGCACATTAAAGTTTGAGAAGTACTGGTCTACTGTTCTATGTCATACTGAAGCTAAGGCTTGGGCTTCAGTTCCTGATCAATCATTAAGGCCTTGTGTGACTTCAGTCATTCACCTATAATTAGAAACTGGGCCAGCAATGGGCAAGGGCACCTCTAGCTAGAACATTCAGTTGAAAACGGGGTTTATGTGGTCTATGGAAGTGTGTGTCATCCCTGTGTGCCTTCTACCACCCCACCTTTCTCCTGTAGATGGTTGGGCTTTTAAGAACAACGTGGCCATCAGGAATCACCGGAACCTTCAGGACCGCCTGCAGGCAGCTCGGCTGCTTCTGGACAGAAACCCCCAGTGCCCGGTGGTGGTGGACACGATGCAGAACGTGAGCAGCCAGCTCTACGCGGCACTGCCAGAGAGACTCTACGTGCTGCAGGAGGGCAGGATCCTTTACAAGGTGGTGACCTGGGAGCAAGAGGCCCAGGGAGGGCAAAGCAGCCCAGGCAGGGCAAGGGCAAAGAGAGGGCTTTGCACCAGGCAGACGTGGATTCAAATCCCCAGCTGGTCATGTACCAGCCTTGTGACCACAGGCATGTCTCTTCTTCTCTTGGAGTTTCAGATCTGCAAACGAGGGTATTCATCCCTCCCTCACAGGGGATTAAATGATGCACATGAAAGCCCCTAGCATTGGGACTGCAACTGCATCCTCCTGAATCCAGATGACTAGTTCAGCCCTGGTCTGGTTTTAAGCTGAGAGGTCGAGAATGTTGTTTTCATTTTATAAATGATGGTCAGAGAAGGGAAGTGATTTGCCCAAGGTCACACTAGGTAAGGCTCTGATTTCAATTCAAAATCCCCTGGATGAGACTGACCAGGAGTGAGAGGATTTGAAGCAGTTAATTTCTGAGAAGAAGCCCTAGTGGTACAGTGGTTAACTGCTTGGTTGCTAACCAAAGTGGCTGCTGATGGAGATGGTTTTTTATCCACCAGCCACTCTGTACAAGAAAGATGAGGCAGTCTGTTTCTGTAAAGATTACAGCCTTGGAAAACCTATAGAGCATTTCTACTTTGTTCTATTGGGTTGTTGAGTTAGAATCAACTTGACCACCACCACCTCTGAGGCAGGCCTGAATCTGGAGGGGGGGTGTTGTGTGTTATTGAGTCGATAGAACTGAGTAGAACTGTCCAATCCAATTTTAATCTTTACAGGAGCAGATTATCAAGTCTTTTCCTCCACAAAGCCACTGGCTGGTGGGTTTGAATCCCTGTCCTTTCATCAGTTAGCAGCTGAGCACTTAATCATTGCACTACCAGTTAGGCGGCTGGAAGAGAAGGAACGCTGCAGTTAGGAGCTGGGAATGCTGAAGCAGGGAACAAAGCAGGAACTAAGCCCAGTCTTCCTTTCAGGTAATTGTTTCCCACTCTAGCCTAGGCCTGGTGATTGAGGTAAAGCTCTGGTGAGCCTCTGACCTCTTGTGTACTGTTGGCCTCCCCTGAAAGGATTGAACTGGCTTTCAAAGCTGCTGAAGGGATTTTAGGGAGACCAGATGAAACATGACCATGTGGATGGACCTCACAGGTCAAGGTGGCCCTATGGAAGCAGGTGAAACCAGCAACAACTCCTGGATGAATCCCCAGGGTGCCAAGGGTCACAGTACAAGAAGTCAGGGCCTTCTTCCTTCTCTTCCCTCACACAGAGTTCTACGATGCCATGGTTGAGGCAAGCTCAGCACAGAGTCTCTACTCTGTCTGGGGTAGGCCCAGTGCTAAGTGCATTCATGCCTAACTTCAAGGTGCTTACGGTCTCCAGGATAAGGGAGACTCAGAGTGTCACAATGTCCCAAGTGCTATGAGAATCCAGGGCACAGATCAGCAAACTTTTTTAGTAAAAAGCCAGATAGTAAATATATTTGGCTTTGTGGGCCATATGGTCTCTCTCACAAGAATTCAACTCTGCCATGTAGTGTGAAGGAAGTCCTGGTAGCGTAGTGCCTAAGGCACTTAACTGCTAACCAGAAGGCTGGCGGTTCAGACCTGCCAGCCACACCTCGGAAGGAAATGGGGCAACCTACTTCCATAGTGATATTCCCTCGGAAACCCAAGGAGGAGTCGCTACGAGTCGGGTCCAACTCGACGGCACAGAACAACAACATGTAGTGTGAAAGCAGCCAAAGACAATATGTAAACAAATGAGCATGAGGCAGCAAGCCGGATTTGGCTCTCAGACTGTAAATCTGCTGTCCCCTGGGGAAAGTTAGGCTTCTCAGAGCAGCTGACAATTGCTTGAGTCTTAAAGGACGATAAGGAATTGGACAAGTAGGCATAGTCAATCGAAGTTATTGCAAATACAGGGAATGGGGAAGGGAGGGACACTGAGGCATGTTAGGGCAAGGTATGAATGGACAATTGGGGGGGGTTGGGTCCCAAGGGGTCTCATTCTGGACCAAGGAGTTTAGCCTTCATCTTATGGCAAAGGACAGCAACTGAAGGACTCTGAGCAGAGCAGAGGCACGATTAACTCTGTGGTTTCAAAAGATCACTGGCTACAGGGTGAAGGAGGGAGGAGGGAGTAAGGACGGGAGACAGCTGGGAAGTGTGGCAGTGCCCCCAAGTAGAAGACAAAGAGGGCCGAACTAGGGCAGTGGGATTGGAGGGCAGAAGTGGTTCTGATGCAGAATGGGTATAACCTGAGTGAGGGAGGGAGAGGAGAAAGTAACACCAGTCTGGAAGTCTGATTATGGAAGAAAAGCTTATTTGTACAGATCATTTTCTCCTTTTGAAACTCTGTCACTTTACCTGTTTTTCCCTCTCTGTCCATTCTTCCTAATCAGTGTCGGTGCCACTACACACACTCTCTCTGGGTGATTTCATGTACTTCATGGTTGCATCTGTCACTGTCTATGCCATACTGAAAACTCCCACTTAGAGATAACCTTCAAATAAGCCCCTGGCCCACATGTTCCTGCAAGGTGGAAATCTGGGAACACCTGATTTGTTTCTCTTGCAGGGTAAACCTGGTCCTTGGAACTACCACCCAGAGGAAGTGCGCGCTGTTCTGGAAAAGCTCAACAGTTAATGTGGACAATCCCCCAGTTCTTTGTGGCCAATAGGACTTCTTAAGGCTTGGCTCTCCCCACCCTAGTTGACTGGCACCTCAAGATCTATGTTCCTAGCTAAATCACTAGCTCAGCTTATTCTGATCTAAGCAAAGGACTCTCAACCACGGGCTGCAGGTCATGGCATTCAATCAGGACTGAGTTTGTTAGAAAATCAATCAACACTTCAGTTATTCAGGCAAGTTAGAGAATGTACAAATCCACGCTGCTCCCACTGTGGAGACCACATTCACTGTCCAATGTCTTAGAGTGAGAGCTTAGTCATACTGAATGGATGTACTTCTGAAGTGTGTTCTGTCTCTCCAGTCACTCTGATACCAAGTGGTTAAATATGGCATCTTTTATTTTAGGTAAATTCACTTTATCGAATTTGGCATTTATAGAACTAATAATTTAAGACACTAACTGGTTTTTAGAATTCAACATGGGAAGAACTCCAATTGTTTAAGGAATGATGAGGAACTGGAAGAGGAGGAGAAAGGAATGGGAAGAGATAGTAGAGACAGTATCCCTTTCAACCATCTAAAAATTTAAACCAGTCAACGGTGGTGGTGGTGATAGTAGGGGGATGAGTTTCTGTGGTAATATATCTTCAATCCTATCATGGAAGGACAGGGTACACACTCTATCATGCTAGAAAATATTTCATAGAAATCTGTCTGTCTGTACCCTGGGATATTCCACTAGCCTCACTTATGAAAGATGCACTTAGAAGGACAGATTTCCCAAAAGCATTATAACCTTGAGCAAATAGGCAATAGGCAAAAGTCATGTTATGCAGTAGCTCATATTTAGAATTGTGTTTCTTTGATTTCTTTGCAAGTCTCTTAATGGTCCTTTGTGTCAGATTACATCAGACTAATGGATAACCACTGGTAGGCATCTGTTTTAACTCTGCTTCTTTTCATATGTTTATGATGGCCACAGCCTAAAGTATACAACAGCTGTGACTTGATTTGAAAAACAATATTTTAAGATGCAGCAAGCTAATACAGAATGATTAAAATCTATCAGGCTAGTTTGGAGGCCTTTGGTGTGATTTTTACATCTTTTCCAATTTGTGTCAGCCTGTTCTTTTATTATAACCCTGTGTAATCTGATCAGCAAAAATACCATATGCTGGAAGGGCCTCATTTGAAGGGAAGAACTCTCAATCTCTATATGTTACATGCCATGTGGTTTTATCTGTGAACTCTAGCTAAAAAGGAAGTAAGTTTGCACACTGGAATCAAAACTACCATTGCAACATGCTACATAGAAAAGAGTGGTCTTGGGAGACATTTTTCCAACATAAAAAAACCTATTCTCCTTGGCTCTGCCCTAGTTGCTGCAATGTTAATATTATTTACTCCTTTAAAAACAGGTATTAATCATCTACCAGATACAGGCCATTTCAGATATATTATCTTATTTAATTTCTCCATATCCCAAAGGGAAGGGGATTATTATCCCCATTTTACTGATGAGGACATCAGGGTTCAGAGAGACTAAGTAACTTGCACAAGGCTTCAGAAGTGCAAGCTAAGCAACCTTTACAAACCAAGAATTGAACCCCACTTCTGACTTCAAGGCCAGAGTCTTGCCTCTGTTGCCTACTACAGCTATGTGACTTAAGTTGCTCAGTATCTTGATATACAAAAACACATGTTAATAATGCCTACCTTACAGAGGATTTAATGACTAAAGCACAGAACTGCCAGCCTATAGAAAATGTTATAGAAGTGCTGGCTATTATTATTAACATAATTATTCCACAGCTGCCTCCCTGGCCCCCCTCCTTGGGGGCGGTGAGGGAAAGGAGGCCAATGGAAGCACTGAGTAAAAATTCACCATCCTATCAAAGCATCCAACTAGTACTGACATGAGTTGGTGAGGTTATACTGAGAATGAGCAACTGTGAGAATAGTGGAACTGAAGTACAGTGGTGCACTGTCCCTAAGTTAAGTCAGTGATGGATTACCCAATAAGCAATGTAAGCATGGACTTACTTGTGCTTACTTACTAATCTGTAGTGAACAAGTTCACATTTTTCACCACATCAAAGATTCAAGGCTTCTTTAACCCAAGACCAGAAGAACTAGATGGCGCTCAGCTACCACTACTGATTGTTCTGACCAGAGACACAATAGAGGGTCCCAGACAGAATGGGAGAAAAATGTAGAGCAAAATTCAAATTCATAAAAAAAAGACCAGACTTACTGTACTGAGAGAGACTGGAGGAATCCTTGAGACTATCACCCTAAGATACTCTTTCAACCTAGAACAGAGGTAATCTTTCAGTCAAACAATAAAATGGCTTATAAAATAAACAATGTCACCTGTGAGTATTGTGTCTCTTACACAATTATATGAGACCAAATAGCCAAAATTTACCCAAAAGCAAAAGTGAGAAGGCAAGGAGGGGAAAGAAAGCAAGATCAACAGAAACTGAATGAACAGAATGGAAATAATGAGAATGCTGACATATTGTGAAAATTGTGTCCAATAATCATGGAACAATTAGTATAAAAACTGTCAAACAAGAACCTAATTCACTATGCAAATGTTCACCCCCCCCAAAAAATCCCACTAAAATACTTCAAGAGGAAAGAAAAGGAAAAAAGATTCTGTTTCTAGGTATGGCTGATTTCACATGTTGACTGTTCACTACAGATTAGTAAATAACTACAAGTAAACCTCTGCTTACCTCATTTACTGGGTACTCCACCCCTGAAACTTAAGTTCCACAAAAAGATATAACATTGGTAGAGTCCCTGAGACTATGGCCCTTAGACACCCTTCAAGCCTGGCACTGAACTCACCCCCATGGCTCAACTTTCAGCCAAATTATAGGCATGCCTATTAGGTAAACAATAATACCAGGGAGGTATACACTCACTAGAACAATCAACCATAAGAGATCAAAAGGGCAGCATCTGTCTGGGAAAGACTCAGAAGGCAGAAAGGAGTAGGAAAGAAGGACAAAGGGAAATGGTAAACAGGGAGGAAGTGGGAAGAGTCCTGTTGTAGGGACTACAATGAAAATCACCAAACAAAACGTGTATGAATTGTTGAATGGGAACCACTTTACTCTGTAAACTTTCACCCAAATCACAATTTAACAGAAATTTGGAAAAAAAAAAAAAGAGAACACTTTCTTTCTTGAGTCTCTTTTCAGACAGTCCTCCAATTCATGTCCATAAATGCACAGAAATCTCCCAATTGTCAACAAATAATGGCAACTAGAATTGAGTTTTCAAGATGATAAGGCCCCAAGCTTTCTAATTCAATTCTCTTCAATTTAGTGTATCAAGTCTTAATTGAGCACTGATTCTTTTCTGGGTGCTAAGTGATGCAAAGATGGACAATCGCTGTTCTCCAGCAGTTTATTCTCTGGGGCACAGATACACATACTACTGACCATCAATCAGGATGGAACATGATGTGCTAGAGCTGAGATAGAAACTAAATGCTCGGAGGACACACAGGAGATTGATCCCTCTGAGCTGGGATTACTCTGTGGAGCTTTATGGAGGTGGTGGCATTTGGGCTTCATCTTCAAGGATGTCCAGTACTTCCATAGTTTGGGATGGGAGCCTGGAGCACATGGCAAGGAAGAAGGGCATTTCAAGCGAGGAAAACGACATGGGCAAAGGTGAAGAAAAGAACATATGCAGGGGACTGCAAGAGGTTTGGGTTCAATTTTAATTCGATATGGAAAAGAGGCTTTTCTCTTTAACGATGGCCTCTCTGGGTCTGGACACTAAGAATGCACCTATTGTGCTTTTCTAATTTGAAGTACTGGTAAGTGAAAGAAGCTTGTTAATATGTCCTGCCTAACTCTGAGTAGTGATACTGCCTCGGAAACCCAAGGAGGGGTCGCTATGAGTCGGGTCTGACTCAACGGCACATAACAACAACTCTGAGTACAGTTTGCATTCAGAATGTCCACTGATTTGAAGGAAATACTTCATCACATCAAGTCTATCTGCCTGGGATGGAAGGGTTTTTCTTCTAGCTCGCTGGTTCTCTGAGGGTGATACCCTTTGTGGTATCTATGTGGAGGCTCTGAGTCTACTGACAGACCCAGGACACTGACTCTTCTACCGGGCAGGAGGTCCTGGAAACCAAAGTTCCGATGATCAGAAATTGTCAGCTGCCTCCAAAGCAGCCAGCAACTTTAATGTCTGCTCACCCTCTAAAGTTGAGCTCTCACTTCCTTCTTAGCCACAGAGTACCTTCTTTACATTTCTGGTAAATTCAGCCATCAATTAAAGAAGGAGTATTGAAATTTTTTATTCAGCATCGTTAGGTGTTTGATTGAGGAAGGATTCTAGGAACACTAACTGGTCATACAGTTTACATCATTGAAAGTCTTAAGTAATTTTATCAAAAAGGGCACATGGAGCCCATGTTCTCTGAAATCTTTCATACTTGAGACTATCAGTCTGTTGTCTTTCAGCCTGAAAGACCCCTGGCTAAGTTTCAGATTCTTGTGCTTCAGTCTCTGACATTGTTCGACCATCTTCTAGCAGTAATGAAAAGTCTGAAGCAATCTAATTGACTCTATCAAGCAAGTGAATTGCTTTCATTCTGTCTGGAAACCTGGCAGATTCTCTATCCTTTTAGTTCAACACCTTCACTAAGCCATGTTGTTGTTGTTGTTGTTGTTGTTATATGCCGTTGAGTCTGCCCCGACTCATAGCGACCCTTCCTTGGGTTTCCAAGGCAGTATCACTACGGAAGTAG